TCGTCTCTGGTCCCTCCTCGTCTCTGGTCACTCCTCGTCTCGGGTCCCTCCTCGTCTCTGGTCCCTCCTCGTCTCGTCTCTGGACCAGAGTTAAGTAACCGCTCGGCCCCTCAGGAAACAGCAGGTCTGTAGAAACAGAGCGATCCTGAGAGCGGCTGCAGAGCCGACACAGCTTCTCTCCGGCTCCGGCATCTTTTCTCCCTAGCGACAGCATCCTGGTTGCCATGTGCTACGCTGTGCTGAGCCGAGCTGTGATTGGACAGGAGCCATCAGCCAATCACGGGTCAAGTTACAGCGAGCTGACAGTTAACTGAGGGGAAATCACTCAACACAATTTAATTAACGAAATGTTTCCTGATTGGTTCACATACGATGATGTTTTCATCTGTGTCCTGTCACCTGCAGCCGAGACGTTTCAGTCATGTGACGTTCGTACGTCGTCATTTATTCGCTGGACTTTTCTACATTTTCTTTTTGTGAATTTTTATCGTTTCCACTGAGGCTCAACTTGAAAACGTGAATTTATCTTGTTTTTATTTCAGTGAACTGAAAACGTTGGTTGGACGTGAACATCGAACCTGGGACGAACACTTTCACCATTCCGATGTTTTAAAGACTGAACTTTTCAACGGATCGTAAGTTGCAGCCCTATAATAAAAATATATCAACGTTATATCGACAGGTGACAATATCGTCACCTAAACGTTTCAGCACCTGATTTCACTTCAGTTTATTTTCTCGTCAGACGTCGTGAGTCTGGATTCTGAAGCTGCAACGATCCGTCGATTAATCGTTGAGACGACAGAAAAATAAATTCTTTTTGATGAAGTGATTTTTCAGTTTGTGTCACTGACTCAGAACAAATGATCTGGAACTTAAACCAGAGAGTTTTGGATTCGAGTGTTTAGAGTTCAGGTTTCATCACATTTACAACGAATCACAGACTAATAGAAAATAGTGAGTCAGTGTCACTCTGTCGGCTCAAACATGGAAACATGCTGAAATATAATTTAACCGTATCACAAACATTATCAGGTTCCTCTGATCATCAACACTGAATCCAGTTAGATTCTGGAAAACTACAATCAGACGAGAGATTTGAGTATTAATGTGATTAAGAGAAATATCTCATATAAACTCAACGTCACAGATTATATAGAGTCAGAATGTGTTGTGTGGATTCATTCAGTGACAGATCCACTCAGACTCATGAGTTCAACGTCACGAGGGTTTGACTGTGACATCCTGCAGGTCTAAGGCTGAATCCATGAATGAAAAGAGGTGATGGAGGTTAGTTTGATGACAGCAACACGAACACAGGAGCTCCAGAGTCATGGAGAGCAACACTTGTACCTGAGAGCAGCAGCTGAGTCCACGTCAGAACCAGAACCACGAACATGGTGACGAACCTTCTCCCTCGAACTGGATCAATCAGCAGAACCGTCTGCAGCTCCTGTCGCTGCTGTGATTACGAAGAGGAGGCAGCCGGTGTGTGTCCGTGTGTGTGTCCGTGTGTTTGTCTCCGTGCATCACATCCAGACCCGCTCTCTCCACCAGCGGCTCCCCCCCCCCGACGGACACGCTGCTCTCCCCGTCCAGCGGTGTCCTACAGCGGCCTGAGAGACGGAGGAAGAGCCGCCGTGCAGCAGCTGCAGCTCCGGGGAGGAGAGGAGGATGTTTCCATGAGTGAGGATCAGGTGATGAAGAGGAAGATGAAGAGAGGAAGGGGAGGAGACAAGGCGTGGTGGAGGAGGAAGAGGAAGAGGAGGAAGAGGAGGATTAGTCCTAAAATTATTTATTTAATCAACAATATATATTTTCCTTTTAGCTTCGTGTCAACAATCGTCTTGTTTAGATTTGATTATAAATATAAATGAGATTTAATTATATTATCTTATTCAAACCAGTCTGTTATTCTTTAGATAAATATTTTATCATCCAGCCACAAATAACTGTTCACGTCATTAATACTTAATTAGACTCACCCTGAACATGCAGCGCCACCTACAGGACAACATGTATGTTACACCTTACAAAGTACACAGTGACACTTTTAAGATTCACAATTTAGCTTCAGCTGTATGGTTAGAAATATTTGAATACATATGAGTAATATTTGTACATATATAAGAAATATTTCTCTGCAGTAAAATATTGTCGTTGCTTCAGAAGCTGTTGACTTTGATGATAAAAGTTGGATCAGAGGAGAAACTGACTCTGAGTCTAAGTTAAGATTAACCTGAAAAGATGTCGGCCTGCAGGGGGCAGCAGCTCCTCGTGTCTGTGCAGCAGAATTAAAGTTCACTTGGGTTGTGAGGTCCTTGTGTTACTTTGTCTGTTTTTATCTTTGTGTGACGTTGTGTGTCTGTAGTTGTTTTGTTGTGTGTCTGTAGTTGTGTGTCAGTCAGACACAGTGGGTGTGGTCACATTGTGTTTTTCTCATCTGCTTCTGATTAAAATGTCTTTTATAAAATCTCTCTCTCACAGTTTGTGTGTCTGCGTGTTGTGTTGTCAGTACGTGTGTGTATTTGATATATTATTTCACTGTGTAAAGATGTGAGCAAACACCTGCAGTGCTTCTCTTTGACTCGGGGGAGAAGATAAAGGAGAAGATAAAGGAGGAGAGAAGGAGGAGAGAAGGAAGAGAGAAGGAGGGATCATGGAGAGTGTGTCTGACTCACATGAGGAATGTGCTCCAGTGGAGTTTAAAGGAGAGAAGTTCATCCTGCGTCTGTGGGTTTTTGTTTTTCTTCTGACTCAAACACAGGAAAGAAAGAAATGTCGAGTTGAGGATTTATTCCAGCCACGCCCTCAGATTCTGGCTCTGATCAAACTTTCACTTCGTCTCTGACTCGTTCACTGACGGAGCTGGTGAAGGTCAAAGTTTACATGTCTGATTTCTCTGGATCTATGAACGTGCGTCATGTTTAATAAACTATTTGCATCGGATGTTTTCCTTGTTTCTGTTTTCAGACTTCAGACTTTCTAAACACAAGTTCCCCTCACTTGAATAATAAGATGATAGATTAAGTTTGGAGTCTCTGGATATAAAAACAACTACAGAGACACAAAACTACCAGAATACTGTGAAATAAATTATAACACAAACACAAAATACCACAAATAAAATACAAAACAACAGCAACGAGACATAAACGCTGCAGAAAACTTTGATACAAAACAACTAGACAACAACAACAAGTGACCACAAACACACAAAAAAGAAAAAACAGAAACTAAACAACTAAATCAGATTAAAAATGACCAGAAACAAACACACAAATCAACCAGAGACTCACAAACAGACCCAGAGAGACAACTCCACTGAAGAACTGTGTGATTAGAAAGGCCTGTGTACTGTAGAATAAGATGACTAAAGGTTTGTGTTGAACTTCTTGTGAACTTGTGTTGAAGTTCTTTTAAACTTGTTGTGTTGAAGTTCTTTTAAACTTGTTGTGTTGAAGATCTTTTAAACTTGTTGTGTTGAAG